TTTAATTAACAAGTTACAATACTTAATAAATAATTACTAAAAAAAAAAAAAAAAAAAAGAAAAAAAAAAAAAATAACATACTCTTTATATCGTTGAAGTTCTGCTTTTACATCAACTTGAAGTGCTGGAAACATTTTTTGATACGAAGTTACCAGCGTATCAAATTTTTGCGAAAATTTATCGAAATCTCCGAGAAGATCACCGATTCTAAGTCCATTTCTGGCAGCTTTGCTCGAGTACGTTGGTCCAATTCCTTTCTTGGTTGTACCAAGGGATTGCGTACCTTTTTCTAATTCTTGGAGACCATCAACTTGTTGATGAAAATCAAATACTATATGTGCACGATCGGAAATTATTAATCGTTCCCGCCAATTTTTCAAACCTTTCGCTTCATTGCTTTCTAGCTCTTCAAAAAGACCTGGTAAATGTATTACTACTCCATTTCCTGAACAAAATTTATAAAAAATTAAAATAAAAATTATTATAATTATAATATTAAAAAATTCTTATTTAAGAATTTATAGGTAGTATAATACAAATATTTTTGCATACTATATCTGAAATAAAAAGTTAAGCAGCATTTATATATATAGAATAAAATTGCATATTCAGGATGTTCATATTTCAAAGCTATCGAAAATACTGATATTAAATGCTTTGAATAATTTTTAAATATTTTTTTAAATCAATAGATCAATATTCATTTAACAATTATCTTTTATTTAATGTATTTTTTATAATACATATTATATATAGTATATGTAGATAATATATATTTTTAAAATACTTTTTTTTTCATAATGAACTCGTAAGGTCATGTTAAATTTTTTTAATGAAATCACTATCTTATTTGCAAAGAATATTAAAATAAATTTGAAAAGTATAAAAATATAAAAAAAACATATTTTCGTTCATTTAATATCAAATTATTTTAAAATAATTTTTAAATTGTGAATTTAATTAAAAACAAAAAAAAAATAATAAAATCGATATTTAATTTAAATTACAATTTTTTTTGGAAGAAAACTAATTAATTTTATTGTAAATACAAATATGAAATTGTAATTAATAAAATCGAAGACTATTAAATAAAATCGTGTATTAAAAAAAAATAAAATAATGGAATATTACAATTAGTAATAAAATTTAAAAGTAATAATAATGAAATGAATTATCAGTATTTACAATTAATAAATATATAAGTTGTGTTTAAACATCAAATATTTATAAACTATTAAAATCAATCTAAATTCAATGTTTTTTTGAGAGACACAATTTATCCTAGTAATATTTCATTTTATGAAATATTAAATAAAATTATTTATAATTAAATTAAATGAAGAAAAGAAAATTTTCTTTATTCTTTTTTATCTCCAAAAAAAAAAAAAAAAAAAAANAAAAAAAAAAAAAAAAAAAAAAAAATAAAAAAAGTTCTTCAATTTTAAAATACTAACATCACAGACAATTCCATTAATTAATGTCACAATCATTATTACGAAAGAATTGTAATAAATAAATAATCCTTTCATATACAAGATAATAAATTTAGAGGTAATAAATTAAGATAGTATGACTAGATGTTGACATATAATAATCACAAGTATTGTTGTCTTGAGTAATACAATATATATTAATAAATATAATAATAATTTTATAATAATAAATATGGGTAGAGATTTTCACGCATTAAATAAAGCTAAATCTATAAATTAGTTAAAAAAATTCCATTGGGAAAAGATAAATGATTTTGAATGATTATTTAAAAAATATTTTTCAAATGCAATAAAATCAATTTTAAAATATATTTTCTATATTCTTATTTGATGTTGAAATCTTTATAAATAATAATTCAAAAAGAAATTAAATAAATCCTCCATTAACTAAAATTACTTCTATACGATAAATCCTTTCGTTAGGAAAATAAATAATAAATATATGAATTTAAATTGAATATAATATATTTAAGTTAGAGACCATTACTTTATATTATTATTTCATGTATAAACGTGCACTTCCATATTCCAAACACATGGATACTGAATTTTATTTTTTTTTATGTTCAGTCATTCCGTTTTGAAATTATTGAAACTTTATTAAGAGCCATCACATAATCGAAAAATAATTACCTATAACCGATGTACATCTAGGATTGATTATTCCACTGGGCAGAAGATGAAAATGGAACTCCGCACCATCTACTACTACAGTATGCCCGGCATTGCTTCCTCCCTGCAAAATTAAAATTCTTCTTTTGCTCCAACATAGGTACTATTTTTTTCCTTTTTCTTTACTTTCATTTTATTTCTTTTTTTTTTTAACATTTTTAATATTTCAGACAAAAGAAAAAACTGATTAAAATTATTTGAATACCAATTACTTTTAAATAAATATCCAAATAATAATTGTGAAGGAAGAATCAGAAGAATTTTTTTTTCCAAAACGAAAATTTTTCCATATGATTCAATAATTGTGTACAGTTGTTGTTACTACATTATTGTTATAGAAGGCATATATTTAAAAAATGCAAAGTGCTCGTTATTCAATGGTCTCTTTATTTTATATCTCTATAGAATATAAAAATATATATTTTTACCTTATTTTTATAGATGATATAGATTACAAATAGAAAACAAAAAATGTATGTATAAAAAAAATAAATAATGTATAATATAATAATATAATAATAATAGTAAATTAAATACAAAATTAATAATATTTAATATATTGATGAGATATAAAATGATTTTTTTTATATGATATAATTTTCGCGAAAAATATTCTAGTTATGTTTTAATTTTTTCATAATCCTAATTATCCTAAGAGAGATTTTAACAAACTATTAAAGATAATTATACAAATTTTATATCTTAATCGTTATTTTATTTAACAATTATTCATTGAGCAGAAATGAAAATAGAATTTCGCTATCAGAAATTTCGAAAATTTTAATGATAAAACAATAATTATTATTTGTTGAAGATTATTTTTTATTATCCAAAATTAAACATAATTTTAGATGAACATTATACGCAAGACTTTGAATAAATCTTGACAAGGTTGCGTAATTTTCCTCTGTTAACTGTGTAATTGACTCCGCAGTTTACGACATCTGCGATTGTTGAAACGTTTTGTCAGAAATGATCAGAATGAATAGCATTGCTAGTAATACGTTAAAATGTCTCGTTCAAAAATTTTATCTTTTATCTTTAAGAAACGTATTACTTAATGATTGTATTTATTAACGAAATTATATGAATATTTTTTTATTCTATCGGATATTGGAATAGATGTAAGATAAATGTTGAAAATAAATGAAACTGCAAATTAAAAACGGTTATGAGTAATACTTGTGCTAAATCTATCTTTCAGCATATATCTATATAACACGTGTTCTTTTCATGACGTGCAAGTCGAATATTATGAAACAAAAAATGAAACAAAATGGCAATGCCAATTGGCATCATCCACAATGATATCAACATCACATGTGATGATGTACGGTACAATGAACGTGTTAAGATCAATGTTTCCATCTTTAGTTTACAAATATATATAGTTTATTAAGTAGTAATATTAAATAAAATTGTAGCTTTATTAAATAAAATATCTTTCTTGTAAAAATGATTACTAATTTAGAAAATGATTACTATTTTGATTACTAAAAATATCAAATATTGAAAATACATTTTAAAATTAACCAATTTAAATTAAAATTAACAATAAAACTTTTTCCAGAAAATATTAAATTAAAAATCTTTCCACTCTTGATAGCCAAATTATTTTTTGATTCTTTGGACTGAAATCAATTATTTGATTTCAATCTTTTTTAAAATTTTATTTTATCATTAAAAGAAAAAAAAATTCTGAAAAAAATATTATATTGTATTATATTGTATTATATTATATCATAAATATCATCATATATATATAATGACTTTGAAAAAAAAAATTATGAGGAAATAATCGATATTTTACTTTTACATGGATTTTTAATGAAAAAATTTTTAATTACTTTGTTATATACATAAATAGAAAAAATGAAGTTTTGCAAAAGTTAAATCTTAATGATTTAAATAAAATAAAATATCGTCTATTAATATTAACCGATATACATCATTGAGAAATTGAATATTGTCGTCATATACATTATGTCATGTACATACATTTATAGTATATATTTATATCTATATTATATTTATATCTACACTATTTAGAAATATTAAAGACACGATACTAATTCTATATTATAAATTTGATATTATGTGAATGAAATATCTTTAGTTTGTTATTTTTAAAATATTTGTTGAATTTATATAACTTATGATACGATAAAAGAGATTATATAGCGATAAAAGAGATTACCATAAGGTGGCTTTGAGTTCATTACGAAAAGTATTTTCGAAATATTTATTACCATTGTTATTACCATTACATATTATCTATTCGATATATAAATAAATTTTATATTTTTTTATATTTACATTAATTTTTTTTGGCGAAATTGAAAAGTCGTATAAAATATTAAAATCTATCGCGTAATTTTATGGGTAATTTTAATAAATAACAATTAATTACATTTGACTTTTAATTATTTCATAAGATGCTATTTATATTGATATAGATTTGTTAAAATTATTATTAAAAAGAAATAAAATTTTAATAGATCAAAGATGCAGTGAACGCAGTAAAAAATTGCAATTAATTTACAAATTTAATTGTAAATTCAATTTATAAAATAGATGGAAAAATTATTATTATAGATCATAAACAATCCTGAAAATGCAAATCAAATCTGATGAATCATGCTAATTATTATATATATAATTATACATATATTATATGTATAAACAACATATATAATAAAAAAAATTTAAATAAATAAATATATTTCTGCAAAAATGATGAAAGATGATCATAAAGACATAAAAATATAATGGAATGTGATAAGTGTTAAATTACTAAATTACTAAAACTGATTAAACTTTAATCAATATAATAAATGTAAATAAAATGAAATACATAAAATACAAAATAAAAAAATTGTTATCATAATTATAGAATTTTAATATATAATGTAAATAAAATAATAATAATATTATGAAGTTAAAAATGTTTATATGGAAGTTTTCTAATAATTTTATAAATGTCTTGTAAACGTGATACATACAAATATATATATATGGTACGTTCATATTCAAATTTTAAATTTATGCTTTGTTGTAATATAATATTTATCAAATAAAATCATAATTTAGTATCAGTCTCTAAAAATGTAGTCTAACCTATCAAGAAAAAGAAATTGAATAATAATATTTAAATCATAATCATTTTATAATTATATTTATATATTCATATAAAATTATATATTTGAATTAAAATTTCCATATAAATTTTCACATAAATTTGAAAAAATAAGACATTCTATCTCTTTAACACTATATTATATGTAATCAGTTTTAAAATTTCAATGCCAATTGGAATAGCTTCGTGCGTTATGTAATAATATTATAATATATATTTTTATACATATATTTATACTTTTATGTATATATTGATTTTTATGCATACTTATATATCATATAAATCTTTATACTTAACAGTTTAAGATTAAAATTATTTGACTTCAAGTCAAAATAGACATAGTTTTAGAAAAAAATGAGAAAATACCTTTTTTTTGAATTTTAGAATACAGTAAATTTCTATGTATATAAATAAATAAATAAATAAATGAATTTAAAGAATAGAAAAAATAGAAATTTTTATTATTGTGAAAAAAAATAATGTATTATAAAATTTCGACAAATATAGAATAAACTTGTTATAAAAATGAGAAATACATAATGTATACAAATTAATTTCAGATTCGTATTATAATAAAAAATTATACTTTTTTCTTATACTTAGATTAAATTATAGAAACATATAAATTTTTAATTTATTAAAGTAGAAAAAGAAATATAGTCACGTGACATATATATATATATATATAAAATAAGGAGGGAAGAGAGAGAGAAAGAACGATTGCTATTATTTAAAATAAAATAATAAAAATGGAAAACGAATTAATGAATTAACATTTTACTGTAATGTAATGTAATAAATCTTATAATTTTAAACATAATTTAAATGTATTATAAAAAAAATTTTCTGAAAAAAGAAAATGAAAATGAAAAAATGGCGAACTCACCTGACACCTGCAGACGACGTCAGCATCCATAGCAAGCATATCGACGACCTTGCCTTTACCCTCATCGCCCCATTGCGCTCCAAGAACAACAGTAACTTTGGTTGTAGCATTTGACACACGTTGTTTTTTCCTTGGTGATGCGAGAACGCTGTCCCCATTTGCTTGTTGAACGGAACGTTGCATTTTCGAATGTGAAAATATTGGCAATTTTTCGAGCAATTGCACAAATTACCCGCGCATGTATACACCTCGAAAACCACCGCGCGACTACTAAAACATAGACTTGATTGACTTAAATTTCTTCGACGAATGAAGAGACATCTACAGGGAAAAACTAAAAATGATAGAAAATTGAATAAATTTATGTAGAATCACAAACAAAATACAAAATAGATCTATATATATTTTATGTTCTGAATTACTCGATCGAGTAATGAATTAGATCACAGACGAAATATAGAATAGATCCAACACTCAATACATTTTTTGTCTCGTATTTCGAGAACCCTTTTATCATTTTATTATCATTGTCAACGTTATCGATTCGATTCAGAATAAGATTGCTACGTTAATAATGGTTGGAATTGAAACTAAATTTTAATATAAAATTATAAATATAACAAGCTACAATTTATTCTGTAAAACATCTTGTGTATAAAATGTATTATTATAAAACAATTAATGTAATTATTATAAAACAAGAATTTATTAGAATTGTGATACTTCTATACTATTATGTATTTTAATTACAAAGAACTGCTTTTATAAAACGAGATTAGATTTATTTCTATTTATTTCTGGAAATATATTATAAAACTGAAAATGTAATATCCATATTTTTTATATTAAAAATTAAAACATTTTATTAAAAAAGAAATAATAAAAGTATATATAATTGATTTTAAATATATAATTTATGATCACGCGTTGAGTTCAGAGACAAAGTTTAAACAATTATAGATGAGAAGAGCAAATAGTTCAAGAAAGTAAGAATTGACCATCAGCGCCATCTCTGGAATGAAACCTTTAAAGAATTAATTCAAAAATTAAATAAATATAAAAATTAATATGAAAATATTGATTAATTTATTTATTAATTTATAAATAATTTAGATTTATATTAAATGAACCCAAATGAAGACAAGTTAAAAGAATAACAATATTATTATATATAATAAGTATATATTTCTATATATTTTTTATATATTAGTACAAAATACACGTCGTTCTTTAGCACGTCGATTTTGAAACCAAATTTTCACCTGTAACATATACAGCTGTAGTTAAATTTTTCTTTTTAAGAAAAAGTTATGATGTTTAACATAGAATAATGTTTAAAAAAAATTAATAATTAATATATGAAATATTAAAACCTATTACCCTATTAGGTAGAAGGTTTAAAATATTTGATATCTTCAATACATCTTTTTTTGAAAGATAAGCACTATTTTGAAATTGTTGTTCAAGATAATTTACTTGAAATGATGAAAATGGTATTCGAGGATGAAGACTTGGTTTTCTTCTATTTTTTCCGAATGTTGACTTTCTAGGAACTTTTGGAGGTTTATATCTTGTATATCCAAGCCATTCTAATTCTTTTGTATTTTTCTCGATATTTGATAAATTTGTATAATATTTTTTTTCATCATATTGTTTAGAATTCATTAGATTAAAATTTATTTCACATTTTTTTTCCATATTTATTTCACTTTTTCGTTTAAAACATTCACCATTATTTTCACTGAATTTATCATTTCTACATCCACTATTTCTTAAATTCATTTTTTCCATAATTTCAAATTGCCTTGTTAAATTCAACATAGAATCTTTTTTAATCGATTGCAAATTATTTTTTGTATTTATCTCGACAGTATTAATATTACAATTTGTTACCAAATTCGTTTCATATTTTTCTTTTTGAAAATCAATCTTACATGTTTTTGATATGTTAAATAAAGAACATTCTTTACATTGATTATTTTGAAAAAATATGTACGAGTCTGATAAAATACTTTCGATGCTAAAGTCCTTCGGTTTTCTAACCGACTTCATGTCGAAACTTCGACTGTGGTTGTTTAATAAAATCCTCTTTATATATGGCTCTCCATTACATGCTACTATGATCACCCCAAATTTTAGCAACTCGTGGCTGTTGAAGCTCGGTTTCGAATTAAACGCATAGTTGAACACACGATGCTATCTTGCCGGTCCAATGTAGTATACAGTGACTTTCAACTTAAATTTCTTTTTTTATATAATATTTTTATTATATCATATATGTATATTTAAAAAAATATAAAATGTTTCCATTTTTTATACATTTTCATAATTTTATGTAAGAAAATTAAATATTAAAATTTATTATCATAAAAATGGTGAATATTTTAATTTAGATTTTGAACTTTGAATTGATGAATTTTCAGCTATATAATTGATATTAAGAATTTGTGAATATTGAAATTTTTATAAGGAGGAAAAAAAAGGAAATATATATACATAAAATGCAATAAAATAAAATAATGAAAATAAAAAAATATAAAAGTTGATAAACACTGTTCGATTGAAAGTACTTGAAAATATCACATAATCCAGAATATATTATCCACCAAATATCGATCCGTGTTCTGCTATAACAATGTAATTGATACTCTTGTAGGGAAAGAAGAAAAAAACGAACGAAGCGTATGATTTTGAATAGACCAGATGCGATACAATGGATTTCAATTAGGAGTTATAGGGTATTTTGGATTATCCGATAAGCAGACTAAAGAGAAAAAGTAAATATTTAGACATTTTTACATTATTTAAAGATGTAAGATTGTAAGATTGTTCAGTTCAATAATATCAAAGAAAATATATCGCAAGAAGTTTATATAAATTTTTATATATAAATTAGATTTTTTATAACTTATAAGAATCCATATATTTCTATATATATTTTATATAAATTAAAAAAATATATATATATATATATAAACAGACGTTTCTTCTTTTTTTTATTATTTATTTCCGTATTCCTATTATTATTATTATATTATACATTCCTACTTAAATAACTTTTAAATTAATCTAGTATGTTTTTTAAATTTTATCCTATTTGTTAATGAAATTTTTTTTGTCGGTAAGTTAGATTTCTTATAAGCGATCATAAAGTTTGCGAAGACAACGCCATCTCGCGTTTGGATTCCCGAAGCTCCGACTTGTTATTAGCATAGCAGAATATGCAAGGAGGTATACGAACTCGTAGACAAGGAAGGCAATAATGCGCGAGAAGGACAGAGACTGTCTCCCACCACGCTACATGGAAAATTCATTAATTTCTCGTTTTCTACGCAAAATTTCTACACTTTTAAGTTCTCATCATGTAGCTAGAACTTCATGGAAGATTCTCATATCAATTTTAATATGAAATTCTTTTTAATTAATCATTTATTAACGATTAACGCGTCATAAAATAAAACGCGTTTTAAAACATCGAAGACGCCATATTGAAAATTAATTAATTCCTCCTTTTCTACGCATAATTTCTGCACTTTTAAGCTCTCATCATGTAGCTAGAACTTCACGGAAGATTCTCGTATCAATTTTAATATGAAATTCTTTTTGATTAATCATTTATTAACGATTAACGCGTCATAAAATAAAACGCGTTTTAAAACATCGAAGACGCCATATTGAAAATTAATTAATTCCTCCTTTTCTACGCATAATTTCTGCACTTTTAAGCTCTCATCATGTAGCTAGAACTTCAAACAAGCTTCTCATATCAATTCCAACGTAAAATTCTTTTTAATTAATTATTTATTAACGATTAAAGCGTCATACGTTTTAATACATCCAAGACGCAATATTAATAATTAATTAATTCCTCCTTTTCTACACAAAATTTTTCTACTTTTAAGCTTTCATCTTACAACTAGAACTTCACAGATGTTTCTCATTATTAATTTTAATGTGAAATTCTTTTTAATTAATTATTTATTAACGATTGATACATCATATAAAATCGTTGTATAATCGTACAATAGATTATCATTTTTTTTATTATAATACATATTTGAAACGTTATTTTTTCTTCTAATTCCATATATATATTTTATATATAATTTTACTTTAGTTTAACTAAATAAATTGATCATTTATTATTCGATTATAAAATAAAAATCTGTGATTGAAACATAATGCATAATAATTATTAATAAATAATTAATTAAAAAGAATTTTATATTAAAATTGATATGAGAAGTTTGCTTGAAGTTCTAGTTATAAGATGAAAGTTTAAAAGTACAGAAATTTTGCATAGAAAACGAGAAATTAATTAATTATTAATATTGCGTTTTCGATGTATTAGAACGTATGACGCGTTAATCATTAATAAATAATTAATTAAAAAGAATTTTACATTGAAATTGATATGAGAAGCTTGTTTGAAGTTCTAGCTACATGATGAGAGCTTAAAAGTGCAGAAATTATGCGTAGAAAAGGAGAAATTAATTAATTTTCAATATGGCGTCTTCGATGTTTTAAAACGCGTTTTATTTTATGACGCGTTAATCGTTAATAAATGATTAATTAAAAAGAATTTCATATTAAAATTGATATGAGAATCTTCCATGAAGTTCTAGCTACATGATGAGAACTTAAAAGTGTAGAAATTTTGCGTAGAAAACGAGAAATTAATGAATTTTCTATGTGGCGTGGTGGGAGACAGTCTCTGTCCTTCTCGCACATTATTGCCTTCCTTATCTACGAGTTCGTATACCTCCTTGCACATTCTGCTATGCTAATAACAAGTCGGAGCTTCGGGAATCCAAACGCGAGATGGCGTTGTCTTCGCAAACTTTATGATCGCTATCTAACTTATCGACAAAAATCTATTCTTTTAAAAATTAATTCATATTAAAAAAAAAAAAAAAAAAAAAAAATTAAAATCAATACATCATTATAATTTTTAAATTTAATCAGAAATGTATTTAATAGTATATAATAATAAAGTAAAAAAGAATAATAAAGAAAAAAATAACGTACATGATTTATATAGATTTTTATATATTAATTTTATAAATTAATTATAAATTAATTTTTCTATATGTGACAAAGGATCAACATATTTTTATATATATTTCATATATAAATTATGTTTTTTACAAAACTGTTACATGGAGTCAACATATTTTTATTTTAACCATTTCTATCCATCAAAAAATTAAAAAAGATGTCTTCGAAGGAATGGTAAATTAGAATAAAATACAAATTGAGATTCTGTGTGATCTTTTGAGTATTTTTAAGATGA